CAGAAGGAACTTTCTGATCCCTCTGTACGTATCTTCTGGGAACACATCCCAAATGCATATCTTCTGGGAAACAGTAATTTAATCCCAAAATTAATTTTATGAAGGTATTTTCACTAAAGTTAAGTAGAAAAATGATTAAAAAAACTCACTGCAAAACTGATGTTTGTAAAGGAGACCTCTCACTCCTAATATAGCATCTTCTGCCAGATACTGTAATTAAGTCATATTTCCATGGCTGGTTTACTTTTCTTCTCACGGAAATAATTATGTCATAAGTATCTGGGGTCAGACTATCCAAAAAGCACCTATTGAAACTGGGAGCGTTGTCAAGAAACAACACGTATCCTCTATTTTCAAGCAAATGCAATGACTCCCGAATCCAGGGCACAGTGCTCAGGAAGCCAATTGACGTGGAGGTGGCACTAATATAAAAAAAAATTATTAGATCCATACTTAGATACAACTCTCTCTTTAATGTTCTAAATCCTACCTTAGCCTAAACTGATTATATTTTCTCTGCGTGTTACGAGCTCATCCTCCTTTGATATACCCAGAAACAACCTTAAAAGCAAGAAGGCCTCAGGTAATATGACACATTCAGCCAACTGGCAAATTGCAACATACTGGAAAAGCAGAAAGTCGTTCAGCTGTATTTGTATACAAGATAAGCCGACAAAAGAGCACAAACACATAGGCAAAGGGATGCCTGTGTGTCATTTCAGGCACATCATAACCCACAGAAAGGAGAACCTCTCGCTTTGGCAAGAGACGGAGAAGGGGGGCACAGTTCGTGAAGGCGGCCCGGGACATGGGGGCATTTCCTCGGGGGGCCTCACTGCAATGAGAAAGACTGCAATGGTCTCTCCCCCCCCAATACTTAATCCCACTGGGCGGGAGAACAACAAGCTGCATGCACCCAGCTCCAGCCTGGCAGACCCCGGCGGGCGCGCAGCCGGGCACTGCCCTCAGGACGGCCGCCCACCTGGATGCGGCTATAGGGCCGGCCCCGGTTCCCCGCTG